GTGTCCAGTTATGCTACGGACGTGTTGGAATTTTTTCAGATGAATAAACAACAAAGAAAAAAAGAGTGGATTGTCTGGGTTTCGAACACACGGAGCCTCGAAGACTCCGAGTCTCGAAGCGTCGAAGATTCCGAGCCTCGAGGAGTGAATTTAGAATTCGCTTGCCTGACAGTCAGCACGCACACACGCACGTACTGCGTCACTCGACACGCGCCCCTTCTTTTAGGAGATGCACGAAGCCGGCCGCGAGATGGAGCGCTTGTAGACGAATACCCTAGGCACGAGCATGGCAAATCTTATGCGTATATTTTCAGCTCTGTACGGCGTATCCACTTTTTGAGGGGAGTAGTGCACAATCCCTCCTAAACTACGTCTATTTCCCCTTAAATAATGGACATTGACACTAGGGTGCGGTAGTGAGCCGTATCCACTTTCGAACAAAGAAATGAGCAATCTCCCTTTTCATCTCTGCAGCAGATGACAGGCTGAGCTTGACATCTTTATGAACTTTACGCACGGCTCTGCGTAGGTGACGCCGGTGACGGTAATGTCGTCTGGCGTCTCATGATATCCCTAACTGTGATGTCATTAGCGCATGGCTTTTAGACGCCTAGTGTCAAAAATTCCCATGATATGACCCCTCCCCCACCTCGCCATCGCTATGCGATCCAGTCCAGTTCCGTCCGTGTTCCACGTTCCACTGTCCACATTCAGCTGCATTCAGTCGCCATATTGTACAGAAAGAACGGGAGGCGCAAGCACGCCATTGTGCATATCACGTTAATCCTTGTCTGTCTTTCACGAATAACGAATAATGTAAGTGAAAATTAAACTTATACCAACTTCCTGTAATGTAGAACTATTATTTTCGAAGATTAGGCTCGTTTGAAAAATGGATGTAATGTCTTCGATAGCTCGGTAATCGACGATTTAATTAACTTGCGATTCTGATTATTTTAGATCAATATTTCAATGCATGGACAATATGTACAGTAACAATATTGACCCTTGGGAGCCAGGCTATGGACCCGAAAGGAGGGGGCACAATTTGGATTATGATTATCGTAACGAATATGGAAGCAGCAGGTCACCAGATTATGTAGAACATCGTGAGAATGATCATCGTGATCGAGACCATCGAAGCCCGGAATACAGGAATCATCGTAGCCGAGACAGAGATCGTGAAAGAGACAGATCGCGAGACAGAAGGGATCGTAGCAGGGATGAGAGAGATCGTAGTTACAGAGACAGAGAAGATCGTTATGGAAGGCAAAGGGACAGAGATTCCGTAGAAAGGGATAGAGATCGGGATCGTGATCGCGACAGAGATCGTGATCGATCTAGAAGAGAAAGAGATAGGGACAGAGATCGAGATCGTAGAGGGAAACGGGAAGACAGAGAGCGGGATCGTGATGATGATCATAGTCGAGAGAGTATGGACTTTGAGCACGACCATGGACGTACTTATGGTTCGTCCATGGAAGGCATCCACTACAAATCTCAATCTCCCAACAACACTATAATGATTCGTGGGCTTGCTCAGCACATAACAGAAAACGACGTAGGTTGTCAACTTAGCGGGCCAACATGATTGGCCACTCGTGAGCCAGCATTCGCAAGCATACGTCACTGTTATCATTATCATGTGTGTGTGTGTCTCTATCACAGGTGCGGCAAGACATCCTCAACTGTGGCCTCATGCCCAAGGACATCAGACTAATTCGTAAAAAGGATACAGGTAATTATCGTCACTTTTCAAATATTAACTTCCCCTAAACCTAACGTGTGAGCGTTAGCCAATTGCTTTTTATCTCGGCAGGTTGCATTAGATTTCTGTAGCATAAGTTCTCGTTCCATTTGTAACTGCGTAAAAAATTGTTTCAAATTCTTATTATTGCTTTAATTAGCTTAAAAGAATTTCGAACAATTCTTTACCGTATAATACAAACATGTGTACACGCTAGTAGTGTCATGTCGGCGGTACCAATCATGTAAACCACTTGAAAATTGTTGATGCGATCAATTATAAATACCAGTAATTAATCGATCTTTTTTACTCTTGGACTCAGGTAAGTTTACGAGAAGAGAATTTATTACGTAGGAAGAATATTTTGAGGGAAATCAGATCAACATTATTCATCTTTGCGAGGACGATGTAAAATACGTTTGGAAATCCCTAAACATTTGTATAGTAGTTAATATCGATTGAAAATAATTTACCGAGCCACCTGTACTATTCTCAAAATTATATCTGAAATCTGACAATTTATTTTTCTATTCTGTACAAGTATGGTATCGCAAGTGACTGTGGTCGCATTCTTGTTGATAGCTTAGTAATAGTTTTATTTTGAAGGGAGATACGGGCTTTTTTTGTGTATCGTCGTCCATCCGGCTCTGTTCATAGCAGTTAACGAAAAAGAGAAAAAGAAACAGAGACGGAAGGTAGGAGAGTTTGGTAGGTCTAGTATTAAAATAAAATTCGCGTTAAACTATCAAGTCTAAATCGTCCGCTACACCCGTCTAGTAGAATTCATTCTGCTGAGCTTTAGGCAAATGGAAATGAAAGCAAGCGACGAAGCGAAGAAAATACTTCGTTCGAAACTCGGTCTCGGTCAATGGTTGGTGCTGTGATTGCCTGCCTGCCCTCTCAGAGTAGAGATTTCCAGGCAAAACGTGGATTAACTTTGGATATGTGTGTATTTGCTCTGTATAGGTGCTTCGCGAGGTTTTGCATTCGTCGAGTTTAACGCGACTCAGGAGGCCGCACGGTGGATGGAGATGAAACAGGTAGAAAGAAGTTCAGTCCAGATACCCAACCGATGCGTTGTACGCGTGCCACCGACGCCCCGTGGCGACAAAGGCACGGTAACACAGCCCCTTGGCCTTCCCCGTGGCCATGGCTGTGCACCTATCAAAGGCTACCATCCAAATTCTACCATACCTAATTATTTATCTAGGAGTCCCCACAAACTTTGCAGATTTTTCTTATAACTCGCTCTCGCAATTTCATCTATCGGATTATAAAGTTACATACGTCATACTATATCAAAAGGCCGCGTCGCGTGCTTCGCCACCGCCTATCCTCTGTCTGTCTATCATAAAAGTTTGTCGACTAACAATGAAGATTGGAGGAGGGTCATTCCAATCGTCTTCTTACGTACGATGCATATACAATATATTATTATATCCGGCATGACAATTCGTTTCTATACAGATCACGATTTATACTACGTTCATAGACAAGACGCTTTTTTCTTCAATTTACAAACGTTTCAGTCTGCTTCTATCATTTCTTTAACTTTGTTCCATCGATGCTATTATTTTTTATTGACCAAGCATTTGTAATAGAATGACAATTTTATGCACGATTTTTTTCTTATTCACGTACAAATTTGTATGCAAGCAAATCGTTGTATGTTTGCTTGTTTTCGTCGATTCCATTCGATTATTTTTGATCGAACAAGAGAAGTTCTCGCGCATGTACACTTATACGTCTATACAGAATACATATAGTCGGTCCACGAGTCGTGTGGAATGGCCCACGTTTATTAAAGAAAAAAGATCCACATTTTCTATACCATTCGCTCGAGACGGAAAGCTATGAACTAGAGAGAAAAAAAGAAACTATAATTTCGTCAACCAAGAAGGGTGTTACGGGACGAACAGCTGCTTTGGGAGGATGTTAGACGGGATAACACTGAAATTCTCTGTTTCAGGGAGTACTGATGCTGCAGGACCAATACCGCGCCTTGATGCAATACAGTATACCGAAAGATTGCCATGTAGATAAACCACCAGCGAAGAATACTCAAGATTGGCACTGCGTTAAGGTGATCCCGCGAAGATCTAACACCGTTTAACCGATGCATGAATTTAAACGTTACGATTACAATAATATTTTTTTATTCCAGTGCGGTGCACATAATTTTAAAAGACGCGAAACTTGTTTCAAATGTTCCGCTTCTCGAGCCGAGAGCGAGGAGGGCGGAGAGGGCAGCGATGAAATTAGTCCTCATCCGACGAACACCGTTCTTCTTCGAGGATTGGATGTGTTAACGACCGAAGATTCGGTGTTACAAGCAATGAAGAATCTTTCGTCGATGCCGATTCGTAGCATCCGCATTGGACGCGATTCCCTTACAAACACGTCGAGGGGCGTCTGCTACTTAGAGATGGGCAACGTGGTGGATGCCATGTATCTGCATACGGCTCTTACCAAACAGGGACTTGTAGTGGATGGCAGAAAGGTGGAGATCGCTTACTGCAAACTTCACCAGATAAATAATACCAACACGTGGAAGGCGAACGACAATCAGCCGCAAAGATACACATTGGACGATGTTGCTCAATTGGCAGAATACAGTGCCAACTTGTACGCTAAGACGCCTGCACAGAAAGCTCATTACCTTCAGTATTATACGCAATATTATCAGAATCAAATAATGCAAGGATCTGCGATCACGTTGCCCTCTTTGAATCAGACCGATCGCGTGAATGCGGCCGCGGCCGTGGCACAATCTGCTATACAGCAGTTGCAGGCATCCAGAAAATTGGGAGATTCCGAAGAAATGAAGAGTAGACCGACGCCTACCGCACCGACCAGTACCGCATTGGCGAGTGGAAGGGTACCGGCGCATGGTAGCGATGGTAAAGTTTATTGTAAGTTTTTATCTGCCCTCGACGCAGTTGAAAAACCTGAATCGCGATACGGTTCTTTATAACATTGATATCTTTTATTTTTTTCTTTTACAGCTGTACCCGATGTTAGCACTTACCATTACGACGAGTCGTCGGGTTACTACTACGATCCAAGTACAGGGTTGTATTACGATCCTAATTCGCAATATTACTACAACAGTCACACGCAACAATTTCTTTATTGGGATGCCGAATCCTTTTCGTATCAACCAGCAAAGACCGCTGCTGCTGCTGCCGCTGCTGCTGCCGCTGCCGCTGCCACCACTGCAACTCAAGGGAGCGGAGTTACATCCAGCGGAAATATAACTGCTACAGCCGGTAGTACCGACACGACGACAAACACGGTCATGACCAATCAAGCAGCGAGTTCTTCAATCGCTACCGCTGCTCAAGAAACGTCCAAAGAGGATGAGAACAAGAAGAAAGATAGTAAACAGGATAAGGTGAAGGTGGCGAAGAAAATAGCAAAAGATATGGAACGTTGGGCGAAAACGTTGAATCAAAAAAAGGAGAATGCTAAAAGTAATTGGAATTCTGAATTCGCTGGTGGCGATGGCAATCAAGGTGTCGGTAGCGGAGCTGCAGACGCTGGATACGCTATATTGGAGAAAAAGTCTCTGGCCAATTCTTATCACGAGGACGAAGACCAAAGTGCAAACAACGGTTTGGTTGCTGCCTACGGCGGTGGCAGCGACACGGAAGAAGAGATCGAGGATGTTCAACAAGAGGAAAGGCAACACACGGACTGGAGTAAATTGGCGTGTTTATTGTGCAAACGGCAATTCCCCAGCAAAGAAGCGTTGATGCGACATCAGCAGTTATCCGATCTCCATAAACAAAATTTGGAAAATTGGTACCAAGTGCGCGGTTTAGATCCGAATGATCCCCAACAAAGAAATAACAAGTATCGCGACCGTGCTAAGGAAAGGAGGGCCAAGTACGGTGAACCAGAACCTCCGCAGCCGAATAAACTTAAGGAGAAATACTTAAAAACCAGAGTCGAAGAAGTACCTGTGTCTTACGAGGAACCGACGAGAGCCGGTATCGGCTCAGATAACGTTGGCAATAAACTGTTACAAAAAATGGGCTGGAGCGAAGGGATGGGTCTTGGTAAATCAAATCAAGGCAGGACGAGTATCATTGAGACGGAAAGAAGAATTCCTACGGCCGGATTAGGAGCGAAGTCTTCGTCGTACAATGCATTGCCAGGTGACACGTATAAGGATTGTGTGAAGAAGATGATGTACGCGCGTTACCAAGAATTATCCGACACATAATACATCGAGTAACGTTGAAAATAGATTTTATATATAAATAAGTACTTGTACCCGATTTTCCATAGATAAATAGATATGTACGCTATACGTATTCTTCAAATAACGTTCTGATTAGACAAATACTTGGAATTCAAGAGTGATCGTCCATTATTGAGAAATACATATATTTCTTTTTTTTTTTGTTATTCCTTTTCTTTATACTTTACACATCATCGCGTCATTTCTCTATTTTAGCAATTTTGAAATATTCAGGAACGATGTGCGTTTACCAGAAATTACAATGTTTATTTAAAAAAAGTGTAGAAGGTAAATGCTCGGGATGCATCGGAGGTATACCAGAGTAACAACATATCGTTGTTCGGAGGATCACTCGAATAACTATAGTCGATAACGCTTTGTGCACAATACAGTCCTTTCCGTAGTTTAAAGAAGGAAAAATAAATCGAAGCATCGTGAAACGAGAAAGCGACGTTCTTTATTCTACAATCAGAGCTTACAGCTTCTGGAATTTCGTCGTATCATTTAACTTAAATTCCATGATGCTTCGTTAAACAATAAATTGATCCATGCAATTTTAATTATTACCCAATGTAATTAAACTCGGCTACATCGCATATTTCTGTCGATTTGGATTAATTTTCACAATTCCTTTATAATCATATTTCACGTACACGCATACGTGTACACACACATATATATACACATATTTCATATACATGTATATGTATATAGAAAATAGAAATAGAAAGATAATTGTATTTATATTCATACATGTATACATCAATTTTACTTGTATTACAGTTTATCCTGTACTTTTGAAAGTCATATATTCTTCGCTATACATACACATTTCTACAATCATTCGTACGCTTTATTATTATTTTTTTAATTATACATGCAAAATCGATGTAATAAATGATCAATTAAAATATTAAAATACTCGCGATGTTATATTGCTTCCAACACAGTCGTACTACTCGTCTCTTTAAATAAATAAGATGTTAAGATACTATCAATTATTCACTTAAATGTACATTAACAAGTATATGACACGTAACAAATGTATAAATTCGAATTAAATTATACATTGCTTCTTCTAGTTCGAGAACAAACTCAACGATATCACAATTTCAAAGAAATTCATATTGTTCGGTGGGTACTTTGATCTTTTCTTTGATAATCCTACAGGAATAAACTATGATCTATCCGTATATACACGTAAAGGAGTTTTGTACCATTGAAGCTGCGTCATTCGCTTGAGAAACTAATTAGTTTATGAAATATAAATGCAATCAGGAACCGAACTTATAAATACATTTACTACATGTATACAATTTACAATATCTTTCGAATACGAAAAAGATGGCTGTGTTCTATCTTCTAAATATTTCTTTATTCGACTAAAAAAGGACACATCGGAACTAAACATCTGCTAAAATCCACGAGTACAGGGGCCTTAGCTGATGATTCAGAACCCTATATTCCAAGTTACTGATTCCATCAGTATCATACCTTCTAGCACTATTCTCGAGATTTTGAAATCTTGCGCTACTGGGGGCTTCCTTCTTGTGAGTTAACATATAATATTGAGCAATGTCAGGTCCAAAACGTGTAATCTGAAATTCAATTTGACCGTAAGTTACAGTTTGTCGATGTTATTATTCTGTTGTATACGTAACGACAGTAACATACTTGAAAGCCTCTCGATTGTAACCGACTATAGAAGTCATCATCCTCTCCACCCCATCCATAAAAAACGTTGGAAAATCCATTGACTCGCTCGAATTGCTTGCGGGTCAGTGCGATTGCACCTCCAAACAGACCGGTATAAGGTAAATTATATCTGAAGGTATTCACACTCGAACTCATATGCCTGGGCATTGTGGTACAAGCATATATATTGTCAGGATTTTGTGGTATGAGATCTATGTCTTGAAAGATGAAGCAATGAAAATCATTCACTTTGGTAGCCTCTGCGTATCCAACGTTAAAGAGCTTGGCACGATTGAACTCGCGCATAGGACTCTGTTCTATTACAAATATCCTGTAGTCCAGGTTCTGTGCTTGCAGAAATGGATGGATGTAACTCATGAAGATAGTAAGTTGTGTCTGCCGGTTTCTATATGGTAAAATAATGGCCACATTGAAGAGAGGATGACAATTTAAAGGTTTCCATTGTCCTCCAGGTAATATACCTAAGCGTCGTGCCATCACCACGGGGTCTTCTCGAGGATATTCCTCGGGATAAAGTAACTGAGATCTTCGTTCGTTAAGCATGATTGTGCACGAGTTATCTCTTGCTGGATAAGATCTTTCCATCTCATCGTAAATCTCCTCCGCTTTTATGTACGTGTAATGCGAAGCGAACCGAGCTGGGTGCAAACAGTAAGCAAGGACCAAAATTGTGGTAATAGTATACGTTAATCCTCGTGCGTAGTCGTAAAAAAAAGCAATAAAAATTTTCAATATATTGACGATGCCTCTCATCCTAATAACTCTTGTCATCAACGCGCTGTACTGGCGTTTTACTAATAAGCGTACGCATTATATGTTAATCTTGCTCGTCAGTTTCATTGATATGTTCTCCATACCTCAAAGTATCATTTGGCAAGTTACAAATTCCAAGCTTCGAGTTAAATACGATTAAATGTACACAAACAAACGTGCTTCTCGGTATATTAATTTCACCTAAAACGGGAAATAGAAGCGATATACATTTCGTTACACGGAGTCACTGGCCGACACAGTTGGCTACAGTTACACACACGCACGGCCACGCCGACCAGTGATGGACACGTCGTGGGATTCTTCACCCATGCGCACTACGAGCTACGAGTTACTCTGCTAGTACATTCTAATACACTCTTAAATATATTCAATAAATCAAATAAAGGTTCCATTAGATCCCGAATACGAAGACAAGCTTGGGATTCACAGAAGAGGATAAGAATTCGTCATTTTCAAAACCTATAGGCCTAAGCGTTCTGAATTCTGAAAATAACGCATAGACCGATATTCGATGCTCGCGCGATCTCTGCCGGCGGTGACTGGTCGGCGGGAATAAAAGAGGAGATCGACATTCAAGATACCGCGTTTTCGAGCGGAGCGATTAGGCGAACGGATAAAGAGGAGAGATCAAAATTCCTTAACTCTTCCAACGTTGTACCTTAGTTTTCCATTTCAACATTCCGTCCGTCTATTTTCCCACTCATGTGTCAGTCAAGGAGCTCGATTGCATCAAATGAAATTACGAACATTCGGTCACTGTTGTTCGGTTGTATCGTTCAATTGTATCATTTACTATTGCGCGCGACAATTCGAAGTCCTCGTGACGCAGTGCGCTGCAACGATGCGCTAGGAATATTAGACTCGAGTGCGAGGTTTCCTGCCCGGTGGAGGCCTCTCGAGGTCGAAACGGTCCGATGACGGCCGGAGTAGAGCTTCGGCGTTCGTTTCGAACGGGAAACTTGAAACTTCGATGCCGTACGGACGATTTGAACTGTTGCGCTCGGAACGTGGTTATTAAAGTTACGCGACTTCCGAACAACAGATTCTGAACGTACGTGAACCGCGTATGCCGTTTTGCGAGTATCGCGTAAATTAAAAAGATTGTTGCACCGCGTTACCGTTTTCACGTTGCAACTTGAATTCGTGCGTCAAGTTCGCAGCCAGGCATCAGGTGTTCGTTTCGTTCGTACGATTGGAACGCTGGCTCGTTCGATCGGCATCGCCGAGTATCGAATACTACGTACGCGTGGAAATTCACGGAGCGTGCGCGTATACCCGCGGAAGGTGAAAGTACGAGCTCTGTAACGAGTACCATGGCGGTGCGTCGTCGTCGTCGTCGTATCGTTTAGAAGCGCGGCTACGTTCCACGAGATCGATAAACGACGGAACGTTACCTAAAACGAGTATTCGCTTGCGCACAAGGGGTGCGAAATACCTACAGATTGGTACTGGCGAAAGAAACCGATGGAAAAACGGGAAACGATGCCAGTGACGAGAGCGACGACGAAACGGTGGTGACGGTGAACGCGACGGTTGTCAGTGTCGGTGTCGGTGGTTGTGGTTCGCGTTGGCGATGTTCATCTCGGAAGGTGTTGCCGCCGCTTCGATACCGGCTAATTTAAGTGACTGTGGACAGTGATAACGCGTCGAATGATCATCGGTGAGACGATCGAGGAAATACGAAATGAGCATGAAAGCTCCGTGTTGCAACCAGAAAGCTTCGTCTGCCGCTTCGCCGTTGCCGTCGCGGCCTAAAGAGAATATCGACTATTTGCATTTTTTTACTCATTTCATTCTCGATGCAACCATCGCGTCCAATGCCTGAAGTCATGCGATCGATGCGAATTTGAAACTCGATTCCGAGCAACGTTCTGGGTTAATTATTATTAAAATACGCTGACGCCACTGGAGAGGCGCAAATCGATTCGCAGAGGTAGGGAAGAACGATTCTAACATGCGACTCTTCTCTTACCGCTCTCGGGATATTGAACGCTCCCGACGTTTTTTGATATTCATTTTTGACAAACTCGCTTGTTTGAGTTAAGAAACATTTGTTTCGTCGCCTAGCGTATTTCGACCGCCCGCTCTTCTATGGAGCTGACCGTTCGCTCCTTGTAACGCATCATTTTAACGGATCAACTGCGGATTAACAGAACGAATCGCGAGAAGTATGGCGTGTTTGTTCGAAGCGTACACGATTACTTAACAAGATCATTGATCGATCGACCACCGGGGATGCCAGCGACAGATAATTATGCCTCGACGACATGGAACGAGAGCGGGGTTCTGAACGTGAGTCCAACGATGGACGACACGCCGAGGATGTAACTCGAACGGCAATAATAAAGGAAAGAGGACAGACGTAACGTATACCACAGCGAGCGACGAGTATAAAGTGAAACGCTACAAACCACTGAGAGGGTATAGGAAGGAAAGAGAGAAAGAAGAGTGAAGCCTCGACGATAATGAAGGAGCACGGAAGCAAACTTCCGGCGGAGCAGCCTGCGAAAATTCTCAAGTCGTTGCTGAAGAAGCCCGGTCAATCGAAGAGTAGATCGCAGAAGAATCGGGTCGTGATAAACGAAAAACTGAACGAATTCTTCGCGGCCGATTACATAATACTGATAAAGGAGGAATGCTGCGCTGATTACGAGGAGGATTGCGACTGTTGTTGCCAAGAACACGAACTGATACGCTTAGGAAACTGTAAGGAATGTCGAGCGGAATTGAACTTCCATTTTGGTGTTCCGGATAATGGCCAATACCACGGCGGTATAGGCAGGGATGGGGAAAATGCGTCGAGAGGACAAGGCTGCGGAGGCGGTGAAGAGTTCAATTGCGTGGAGTTGCATGTCGAGGACGAGGACGACGAGTACGAGGTCGGCGACGAAGGGGTTAAACGAGGCCTCGAAGGGGAAGAGAGCGAAGAAGAAGAGGGAGAAGAAGAAGAGGAAGAAGATTTAGAAGAAGAGGTGGTCGCCGGAGAGCATCTGGAAGATAGACAGGGACCCGAATCGCATAGCGCAGAGGAGCAAACGGAAACGAGGGTAACGAAGACGACGGACGCGCGAACCAAAAGCAAAGGGGAAAGGATCGATGGTCCGAAAGACGTCGAGGGCCATCGGAATCGAGTCGAATTCGTCTCGCCGGCAGCGAAGGTCACGTTGCCCGCGTTACCTTCGCCGCCTCCGCCACCTTCACCGCCTCCGCCACCTCCGCCACCGCCGCCGCCGCCGCCACCACCACCTCCGCAATCCTCGATAGAGAGACCATCTTCGACGCATCCGCGCCAGGAACAAGAGACGCTGAGTCCACCGGAAGGTTACAAGGACGTTTACTCGAATGGAGAGTTCCCCGATGTAGGAGAATGTTGCCTCCGAACTTCGCTCGATTATCTACAATGTCAACGAACAGCGGGTGAGAATCATTATAGCACCGCGAAAGCGGACCTTTTCCCTTTTTCCCGACTGTTTCTCAGCTAATTGGGAAAGCGACGTTGAATTCACGCCAGCATAAAAAAACTATAACCGCATAATTTGCGAGCATTCCCATGACGTGTTCCACGCGTGCATAAAATGCAGCCGACTAATAATACGTGTCCTGGAATATGTTCAGCCACTTTTTCCCATAACGTCCATTTAAGGATGTATTGGCTATACAGTCAATCCCAAAAGTTTATGCACTTTAGAAACGCATTTTTTAAAAANTTCTTAGGTACATAAACTTTTGGGATTGACTGTATAGCCAATACATCCTTAATACGCCGTACGCCGTACGCCGTACGTTGTTGTATATTTATCATTTAAGAGCTCACACGATTCTTCGAGCCTCGTTATTGTTAGTAAGGAAAACGTTATCTTGTATAAAACTAGTTTGCTCCCGCTTATTTTCATTTATATTCGACTAAAACTTTCAATAAGATTTATGATACAAATCTCGAACGTAGCGCATATACATCTTTCAAATTGGATGTAACGTACAAAAAAGGGGCATTGGCTCTAAAACGAGCACGTAAACACTGATCACATGGCTGTTGCGTTCACGAAACGTGAACCGGCTACGCGCACCGGAAGTACAGTCTACCGTGACTCCGGTGTTTCCGCGGTACATGTAGGAATATCATGCGTTCGCCCGCATGCCTGACCAAAACCAAGTCGTCCTCGCGTCTTGTGAAATATCTTCTGAATACTTGTTGCTTTTAACACATTGCATCGCGCTTGCGTAGCACCACTCGTAATTTCTATACACGTAAAGCGTTGAAATGCCTAATGGGACGACGTGATGTGATTTTCCAGGTGCGAAGATCGAGAGAGAATTACGATGCAACCAACCATTGACGGAAAATAACAATGAACATGTAGAGAAAGCGAACGAGTCTTCGCCAAAGGCGTCTACCAATGGTACAGACATATTTTTATTTAGATTAAAATCGAAGCGAAGGAACGTACGTTTGTACGTATCAATTATTATATAAAGAGGTTGTTGTATACGCTCTGTTACAGAGTCCCGTCATCGATATCTCGTAGAAACCATAACTATGACAACCGTTACCGAGCGGCGTATCGTGCGCGAAATCAGCGAGGAAGAGGGCATCGATCTACAACATGGACGGAAGAACACGCGCAAAACGGTTTCGAAACCGAGAGACGAGAGTACCGAGACTAATAATGCGGTCGAGAGCAAAGTTAGCCAGGATCATGACGAGCCTCGAACAGGTCCGCCCGAAAAGATCGATAGCGGCGGCGACGCGGAAGTGGTCGCGACCGAGGATCATTCCGTGGGAAATGAACCGGCTCGGGACATAAGAGAGCTCTCTCTTGTATTCAAACTCGGGAATTCATCGTTAACCGGTAACAGTCTCAAACCGAACTCCGCGGTTAGACAGCTGTTCCCGAATCCAAGATTCGTCTCACCGCCACCAGCTCCCCTCGGTAAATTGATTTGTTCCGTGAGCGATTCCCAGAATGGACAGTTTCTCGTGAACGCGGACAATTTGCGTTTAAATAATCAGTCTGCCGCCTGTTTGAACGACTCCGGTAACCCGATAAAGAGAACGATAGAAAGGAACACTCTTCGGAGGAGTCTTCTCGACAAGTACCGCGCGAACTCGCGAAAGAAGAGCCTTCCCTCGAACAATCTCTCCCTGGAGGAGCGGATACGTCGGCTAACCTGCGTCGACCAAGAAGAAGAAACGAACGTTTGCCAAGATTCTAGTACGGAGGTCGCGGTCTCCTCGAGCACGGAAACCGATGCCAACAAATTGGCAACGGGACAGCAAGAAGATGCTGCTTGCCTGTCGTCTATCAAGACGTTTATGAACAACACCAACGGAGACAAATTATCGACGAGCATGGCGGCGATGCCGGCGACCATGCACATGGCTACGAAATTCAACACGATGCCCGATGCGATGGCATCGACGTCGAATACCTTGACGTCGATGTCCGCGGAAATGCTTACGTATTCATCGTTGATAGTGACCACTGCAATGGCGACGACGACCACGACCACGACGATCACAGGCTCTAATTACTATAAGCAGAACCCACCGACTGTCAGCGGCGCGGTCATGGATAACACGCACAATCCATCGACCTACAAAAAGCTGACGGATTTATTCGTTCACAAGAGAAGCAGTATCCATTCGGCGAACCTGCCCGACCTCGGTATCGGAGTCAACGGGAAGAACGGGCAAAATACCATCAAAGACGGCCAACAACCGAAGAATTCGTTGAGACCGAACAATTCCGAAGTGCGTAAGCAATTTTTGGCCAGTCTGGCACCGCTGTCTTGCGTCGCTATCAATAGTACCGATACTCAGGAGGATTACTATCGACTTAACTCGACGATAATGGACAGCGAAGGTCGCGGTTCGACGGTGAGTTACAACACGTTGTCACCTTACGGCTTGGAGGACATCGAGGCGGTTCTCCGCGAAGACGGCAGGAACTTCGCGGGCGCGCCAGACGTTACCAAAGGCACGCCAATGATAACCGGCAACAGACCCGACATAGGGGACAGTACGGCCGACGAATTGTTAGCGTTCGTAGAGCAGGACAAGTTTAGAACGGAGAGAATAAAGCAGCGTTACAACGACGCGGAGAGTCAATACAATTCGATGATAAACAGCACGAACAGTTATATTCCTGATAATAAAATGGAGAGAATAGTGGATGGAAAGAACGACAGCGATGACAAACAACGTGTACACCGCGAGAACGTTAATCGTGAGAACAACAAGAACAAGAATCGCGAGATGCAGTTCATGGGTACTAATCAACGTTACGGTAACGGTAACGGTAATGGTAAAGAGAATAACGGCGACGGTGGAAACAACGACAACGACGATGACAACGAGAACGACGACGACGACGACGATGACGAATTGAACGATTACGGATTTAATCGCAGGCCGTCCGTAACCGGCATCAAACAGCGTCAGTCGGGCAACACCGATGAAACCAATTCATCGTTTCACCGGCGAACGGTCGTGGAGAACGACGACTCGAACGTTTTCAGAACGAACTTTCAATCGTCTTCGTTGCCGATGAAATATTACGAAAATAATTGCGTGAAGATCGACGGGAGATTGTACGAGGACATGATTGACGATTCCATGTCGAATTCGTTTGTCGCCGACGAACAGGACGCGAATACTATCAACAGAATAAACACGATGCAGAAGCAGATCGATGACATCTATCAGACCATCGTCGAGAACACCAATGTCACTGCCCAAAGCTCGTTGGAACCATATTCGGAAGATACGTACGCGCGACAACAGCCACGATTACCGGTGGCAAGCGATATCGGCTTCCGGTACTACCAAGAGCCGCCGAGGAATGGTCAGCAGTATTTCCAAGAGCAACCGAGTATCGGAAACTCGCGAACTACGCGAGGTATCGCGACCGGAGCTGAGGAAGTAGATGTTAACAGCGCGATCGGTGGAGACAGAGATTATGCGAACGGTCTTTCGGCAAAGAATCGACGAAGAGAGCCGCCTGTGGGAACAGCTTCGTCGAATTACCGAACGTGTAACGTTGTTCCTACCACCGTCTACGCCGGACTTCCCGCTAATGGCAAGTGTTACCGAACCATGTACTTCGTTCCGTACAACAGCCTGTCCGATCCGACCTATCAGAACATCCAACGTATCTTGCCATCGCATCCTTCGCCCAGCGCCAGTTACGCGAATCATATCGAGAGGTATCCGTATCCTCGACTCAACAAAAACGATCAACGTCTGCAACCGCAGACGCAGGCTCCGACGCAGATGCAGACACAGATGCAGACACAGATGCAGACACAGATGCAGACACAGATGCAGACACAGATGCAGACGCAGATGATGCAGGCGCAGTCACCGCAGGTGCAATCACAGCAACAACAATTAAGATATTATCATTTGGGAAGTCATTCGCCTATACCGAATTTGATTCAAAACGATCATACTGCGCCGCTTCCTGTCGGCTCCCTTGGTCCCGCTCTACCGTCCGATTCCTCTGCTCCGTACGACTCGCGAGTCACCTCGATGCCCTCGGCCAACCCCGTCACGTTACAACCCGCAGCCCAGCAAACTTTGCATCTTCACTTGCATCATCATCCACAACCCGACGATTTCCGGATTTCCGGTGTTACCACCTTCGCCTCAGTACCTCATACCGCGAACCACTCGCTACAGCTACATCATCACGCGCAACATCAGCATCATCTCCACCACAGACACGCGCATCATCAACCCACGTTCTACCGCTTACCATCCACGATACCCAACGTGGCTGCTTCTTCCCCGCCCTCTTACACCGTGATAGCACCGTCGAGATGTACCGCGTTTGCCGGCAATGAGTTAGCGAGCGCTGACGGCTCGTATCGGTTCTATCAAGTGCATCTGGGTCGCACGGTTCTGACACCTTCGTCGTCCGAACTGCAAACGACAAATTGCAATCAAACGTTTTTCTCGTCGGCCAACAACGCAACCATTTCGGTCCCATCGAAAGTCTCGGTCTCGTTCGCATCTTCCATGCCTGCTTCATCATCGTATTCATCTACCTCTCATTCATCCACGTTCTCACCTTTACCTACCCCGATCACGTCCGTGTCTACCTCCAACTTCATCCACCCGAATCACGTGTCTGAAACTGTACACGGATCCAACGTGGACAACACCGTACCTCGCTCGAATTCCATTCAGTCCGTTTCAAACAATTCGAACGTAATATCCACGCCGTCCACCACATCCGGTTTCTCTCCCGCCGCAACTTCCTGCGCTTTATCCTCTTCTTCTCTGCCGTCATCTTCTTCTTCTTCTTCTTCCTCCACCTCGTCCTCGTCTTGCTCGTTCTCGTCACCGTCCTCTTCCTCGTCGTCCTCTTGCTCATCGTCCTCTTCGTTGCAAATCCCATGCTCACCCTCCAAGTTGCAACAGCAACAGATGATCGGTACTTACGCAACGATAGAACGAGGTGTACCGGAAGGTGCGGCAAGCGCACCGTCTTACGATGGTTCGCAGAACGGAATTTTACTCGCGTCAAGTCCTTACGCGGTCCACAATTCCAACGGTGTTCAAGCTCTGCCGAACCACGCGCCGAATTCCGTGTATTACGCTATGAACGTTTAAATCGGCGTATCCCGCGGGGAGTCGTACGCGTCGTCGTACCTTCGGCCAAAATACCTAATCTATTTAAAAAACCTATCTGACTATCGGGAAAGGTTTTTTGTCTGAATCAGACTGAATCTGAGTGGAATACCTATCGTATCTTTTTTCGTAAGGGTATACGCTCGATCGACGTTACGTTTTATATTCCTTGTTTTTCGAGAAGTCGTTTGACTTCGATTTCTTGTTTCATAGACTGATTTCAGAATCTGGTAGTGTGTACCGTGATGATATTCATGATACCAGAAGAGGTTTCAAATATATGTTTAAACAATGGTTAAAGAAAATAGTCGTTCGGTCCGCTTGGATAAATGTCGATCAACCCGATCGCATCGGATACGCCCGTTTAGGGATTAAATTTTGAAATGAAAAAGCCGCTCTTTCTTGCCGTATATTATAAATTGAGCTAATACGGAATTGAATTGAATGCGATCTAGAAAAAGATCGGGACCCGGGACACTCGTGTAAGTCCGAAAAAGGACGAATTGCGTTACTGGCAAAATGTCTGCCACGACGATGTATCGTCATCGATTCTAGTCACGGGAAAATATTTACAGGGATCTATAGGAACAACAACGACGACGACAACAACAACAAGTATTGTATAAACCAAAGGATGGCGTTTATCTATAACCGACGGCAATTATTTTCGATAAAATGAATTCGCGGTGGAATTGACGAGTTATTTAGCAATGAGAGCAGGTATACTACTTAAGTACTAGAAAACAAGGACTCGCGACTTAAAATTAGCTGGTGAAAGTTTAGCGCGAAGAATTGCTCTTCAGTCGAGGATACTCGACGACGAGGAAATTCGTAAAAATGGCTAACAGTAAACAAGATAATAGATACGAGTTCGTGGAATGTTTTTAGTTTACGTTCGCCGTTCACGTTGATTCGTCTTTATCTATTTTACGAGAGAGAGAGTGAGAGAGAGCGAGAGAGATAAGCTGCGGAACATTGCTAATAGAAATTTACTCCTCGTACCATGACGAAAAAGAAAGTGTTCAAACGTTAGACCAAAAACGTGCAATCTACCGTGCGCGGCACCCGCGTACCGTTACCGCATGTGTACCATTTTGTATTCGCTATTTGCTTTGTTCCCTTTGGAGAACGTGAGACGAATATGTGCTACGTGTACGCGCGGCAGGTACGTAGGTATGCCGCATACTATTTTCATGAAACATATTAATTGAATGAACGATAGGTAGCCGAAAAGGTAGTCATGGATTTTGATTCTCACGAAGATTTCGTCGAAGATAAATTTTTGATGTGCGCATCGTCTAGGTTAGATTAGGTACAACTATAATACCGAGAGCGTAACGCAGTATAGCGACCCAACAGAGATAAAGTATTAAACGTGTTAGAGTAGAGAATATGTAACACCTACGACCTACGACCTACGACCTACGACCTACGACGTTCGAATTCGAATGCAATATTCGAGTGTTGTCAGTTTTAATCCAAAGTTAGATACCAAACTTTTATGGTAACGGTGGCCAAGTTTAGAATCGAGTTTTACATATAATATAGTTTACACTTAATTACTCCGTAATATCATCGTGAAAAAGTGTATGTAAATAAAGCTTTAATCAGAAAAGTGAGCGCTGTCATTTCGATAATAGAGAGATTAGTTATTTGATTATTTTTAAGGAAGAGGAGAATTTAGGGAAACCGAAACTATGAAATGCCTAACGTTGTTTATTTTTTAAACTGATTTATTAAAAAATTCACACTACTAATTTTGTCAATAAAAACGTCTTACGTATTAAATAGAAAAATGATTTACAAGTGTTTTTTTATAAGAAATTTGTGTAGGGTGGATGTTCAGTTTTCAATGATTGCTCGGTTCTCTGCCGTGCAATCGTCAAAAATATAACACGATGCTTGTTTGCTTGTTTCTCGCTCGCTGCAGTGAATCGGTTTAAACAAAGTCAGTCGTCGATCGTCCTCTTCCGTTTGTGTTTTCATTTGTTTTTGCTTTTGCATCAATAAGCTGGCCGTCGACAAATAGAAATAAATCTATACAACATGTATATGTGTAAATGAATGAGTGAATGAGTGAATGAGTGAGTGAACGTAAGAACATACGCGTATGCACTCGGTGCATCGCGGTCGTGTGTACATGTGTGCGCACGCACACGAAATGCTTGTGTTCTCATCTTTTTTCGTATGAATTTTTCTTTCTTTTCGTCGTCGAAACTGTCGGAAGAGCCGAACCAAATGAACAAAGATGGATTGTACCGACCGAATCAACCTATCGGAACTATCCTTAGTCGAAAATACATATTCTTGTATGCACCGTACGGTCACCGTCCGAACAGCGCTAACAGTTTTTATGAAAGAGAATATGTTACTCGCGCTCTACAAAACGATACATCGTCTTCTTCTGACCGGTTCCGGGGGCTCTAAGGCTGCTAAAATTGCTTCGTCAAAAACGTTTTTCAAACCTTTCTATACGCCAACAACAGACAAAAAGAACGATGTGATAATAGAGAATCTTGAACTTGAAAATATAAAGAGCAATCGATAGATTGAACCGGATCTATCGACCGTTGTACCTGTGTGAGAGCGCTGCATTCCACGTATTTCACCGCTTTCAGTTCTTTGGCAAGTTTTTCCCCTTGTTCGGCCGATATAGGTTTTTGCTTATTTTTCGCAAGCTTTTCTATAGTCGCCGCGTCGTCTCGCAAATCAATTTGGGTTCCAACCAATAAGAATGGAGTTTTTTGACAATGATGAGTTATCTCTGGAACCCACTGTCAAAAAGTGTCTTGAATTAATTCGAACAGGTAACATCGTAAATGAAAGTAAACGTGCTACGAACATCGCACGGATAAACATACCTTCTCTTTAACATTTTCAAAGGAGGACGGCGACACGACAGAAAAGCAGACTAGAAATACGTCAGTCTGCGGATAACTCAAAGGACGTAGCCGATCGTAATCCTCCTGACCTTTAATAATATCCAATTAACTAAATTGCACAAAATCCAAGGAAGACAATCGATGCGATTGAAGCAAAGTCATATTTACCTGCTGTATCGAACAACCCTAACGTATACGGTTCTCCTCCGATCATAACCGTCACAGCATAATTATCAAATACTGTCGGAACATATTCGGATGGGAACTTATTGGTAGTATACGAGATCAGCAGGCAAGTCTTACCTACTGCACCATCCCCAACCACGACGCATTTGATAGTCTGCATTATTTTTTACCTTCCAGGAGTATTTCTGTACAGACGAAAAGAGTAAAAGCTGCATTACAAGATGCAATATAGTCCGTAACCGAGCAAACGTGGAAACCGTCTTACACGAGACTACTACACGTCGTCAATGCTAACGAACAAATTTTCGTCTCGTTCGGTTTCCTTGCGCTCTGGCTCTAGGGCCTAGTCTGATAATGTACGGGGGGGGGCGGTTCAGTCCAGTACAGTTCAGTCCCAGTATCACTTCCGTCACTTTTTCATTGCGTCCCATTACATCCCGTCACGTACAAGTCCGTATTGCGTATTGCGTCCGGTACTCGTCGTAACGTCTAGTCGCATACTCTTACGCTAAACAAATGGAGAATACATTTTGATTCGTCCGATTATACGGATGTAGTTGAAGGTGTTTCGATTTCAGCAGCAAGGCAATTGTGGGAAATATGTTCGGACAACAAATAAACAAGTTCGCCGACTCTCGACGAGCCATGATTCAATTATAAGAGTAGATTTGGCACGAAATAATTGTTTTTTCGAATCGCCATTTTTTTATATTTTCTCGGATGCATCCAATTCGTCGCTGAAAAAATGTCATTCGACTGTGAACAATAAACGACGTATCCGTCGTACACTTGTCGCGTGACACGTAGTGGAAGGCAAAGCGCACCAATCAATCAAATATACAAAATTTAACTGAAACACTCACAAGTAACTGGGCGCAGGGCGTCGACAACACACTTCACTGTCACAAATTTTTCGAACGACCATAGAAGGTCGGCGACTCATTAATTTTGTGGTCTTCGCATAGAACCGCCATCTTTCGACAACAGCCGCCCTCTTTTCTTTTCCTTTTTTTATAACCTTTATCGCATAGTGCATAAAATAATATAATCGCAAATATACGGCAAGCAACTGGCTTATTTTTAGACAAGAAGTAATGTCGATGATGGCACAATGACTGTATTGTGTATATATGTTACTGCAACTGATCAGATTTGAAGCAGTGTTGGACACTTTGTGGGATTTTTGTAACTAGGCGTCTAAAGGACATGCGCTGATGACGTCACAGTTAGGGATATCATTAGGGATGCAGAATTGGCCGCCTCCAGGTGACTCTTCCAGTCTCTTTTCCTCTCGGGTACCATATGCATGTACCGCATGAGAATGTGTCAGAAGTTGTGGCATATATGACATCTGGCATGCCGAGAAACGCCAGAAACCTGGCAACGCTGTAGTCATTGTCGCTTTTTTCTAACTAAGCGCCTAAAAGACATGCGCTAATAACATCACAGCTAGGGATATCACATGACCGCAATCCTGTGTATAATCTTCAACTTTTGATGGAATTAGGCGCTGAAAGGGATTTACGTATAACATACGTAAATTGATTCGATGACCGAAAATAAAAGTCATCAATCTTGCTATTTTTATAACGAATTCATTCGATTTGCGCTACTCATCAACCAAGGGCCTCATATGTAGAATTATGATTCGTACGTCCATATAAATTAAAAAAGTGATTATTTTAAACAACGTGCAGTCAGATAACGTAATATTCTATTTTCAAGACTATTAATTAAAAAAATATGAATTTCAAGCCCATTTTTGCACTTCGGATCTAATTTTACCTTTAAATTGACAAAAATAGGTACGTTACTAGGTTGTTACTAGTAACTTGTAGTGCGCACGCCCGTAAAAGTCCCACGGAGTGCCCAACACTGCATTTACGTTGACTGCAAACAACAGATAAGAATAATAACGTCGTTTCGCGCCACGATCATTATAGTAAAAAATAATAGGGCGCAGAACCGTTAGCAGGTATTCATCGCTACTAGTTGCTCGTTGTACTTACTCGAAAATATACAGTAAGGAAGGACCGGAAGAGCTTACATAAGGAGGAATCGAGCCTGGTCGTACAGAACAGAAGCAATCGATCGTTCGCAAACGTCTACGCAATGGGTTTACCTCGTGTATTTTTCGACGTGTCCGCCGACGACAAACCGTTGGGCCGTATAGTGATGGAATTACGAGCAGACGTGGTCCCGAAAACAGCGGAAAATTTCCGTGCTCTTTGCACGGGCGAAAAAGGTTTCGGGTACAAAGGGAGTACTTTCCATCGAGTAATTCCAAAATTTATGTGCCAGGGTGGCGATTTCACAAATCATAACGGCACCGGTGGGAAATCGATTTACGGAGAGAAATTCGAAGATGAAAACTTCGAACTGAAACATACCGGCCCCGGTATATTGTCTATGGCAAATTCTGGACCAAATACCAACGGTTCACAATTCTTTTTAACCACAATAAAAACTTCTTGGTTGGACAACAAGCACGTTGTGTTTGGTGCCGTCGTGGATGGCATGAACATAGTGAAAAAGATCGAAAGCTATGGTTCACAAACTGGGAAAACTCATCAAAAGATCATTATTAGTAATTGCGGACAACTCTGAAGTGGACGACGTACCACACATATTAATTTCTTCATAATCTGCTATGTCTATATTTTCTCTGGACTACATGATTTTTGTAAAATAAATGTGTAACACTAAAATACATTGATCAGAAATGAAACGATGCCTATGTTTTATGAGTAGAAACACTCGCTAAGATCATACTTTCTCTTATCCTGATCGCGACACAATTAAACGAGGCTGTTCAAAAATTAACCAAGATTTACCTATCCTTAAGTACACATACATACTCTCGTGCATGCGCGTACATATCTACATGTATACATATATATATATATATGTGCTTATATACAGCGATAAATACTTAATACACGTAATGGTACACTTGAGTTCCGGTTCAGGTTCCGGTTGTTGAATATACCACGCGTATTGCACTATCGATTAAGTAAAAATATTAAATATCCGCGAGCGCAATACCTTATTTTCATCATAGTCTCTTCCAAGTCCATGTTCAGTGCCCATGACAGTACCATAGTCTTTTCCAAGCACCATACGTAGTGTGCTTCGCGAATACGACGACGAATATGTATGTTAAGCTAGTTAGCGCGGTATACCAGCGAACGCACATCAGGCACGTCAGGAAGAAAGTCATTGTCATTCAATGCATATAGGCAAATTTACCACGAAGAATAGGTTGAGCTCGAGAATAGAGGCGAACACCAAAAAGATGATGTACATAATAAGACAGGCTATTCCAACGTTCCGTGTCAATTTAAATTTGGCAAACAGAAGGGACAAGTAAAGAACAGTAAGGGTAGAGAACAACGATATTGCACTGTAAACGAGTCCTTGCGAATTGATCGTCACATAATGATTGCCAGCTACCGTCGGGAAAAACGCAGCCTTGAGAAACCAAGGTAGTCCGAGGCAAAGTAAAACGTCGAACACGTTCGAGCCAATCGAATTGCTTATACCCATGGCCCCGTGTCCTAAAAAGAATTAGTTATCGTTAGACGGATTTCTGATAGTGGAAAAGAGAAGCCCCGTGATAGCGCGGGGGCTGGAACGAATCCCATGCTAATACCGCTTATTACATGTGTGTATGTATCTATACATTGTATACATGTAGTACATGCATAACGACGCGTAGTTAAAAAGAAATGATTCCAAGATTGGGTGAATTTGATAAATAGCGACGTGATAATATCGTACGGCGCACGCTATCGTTCATCCAGGTTTTTTCTGATACCATTATCACGATTGTTATTCGCTGATTGTATAATATATTTCTTGATTGGCTCCGGCGATTATCACGACGGATCGCGCAGCCATCCGACGACGTCGGCGGCGGCGGCGACGGCGGCGGCTTGTTTCGTGTGCCGTTGCGGTCAAATGAGAATTTCTATTAATCGACGACGGTTAAAAAGACGAGAATTACCTTGATTCGCGACGATAACGCTCGACACAGCCTCCGGTACGCTCATTCCTGCCGCTAGAAAGGTCAATCCCATTATGGAGTCAGGGATCCTAAATGTATCGCCTGAAACAGTGATCGATCGTTACACGCGACGTCCACGGTACAACTCGGCTATTATAACACGCAATTACTGTTTAACGACGGGACCGCGTCGCATTTACGGGTTCACGGTACAACGGATATTTGGACATTTTTCTAATCGGTTATATAAACATCCGTACCAATCACGGTGATGACCCATCCGACGATGTAAGAAGTACTCGCTATCCATATTATACACATGAAGAACGTAACGGGGTACCAAGACTTTAACGAGTTTCGTCTGCAATCGGGAATCGTAATAAGAAGCACGAAGTTTATCGGCCATGTGAGGATCCACCACAGTTTTTCGCACACCGAATTAGGCCAATTCGTCATGTTTACAATCTCGACTAAAAAATATAAACGCTTATAAGTATGTGTAAGATCGCCGTCGATCGTATCCGCCTGCTTTCCTTACGTACGATCTGCGATCTGCTCGCATCACTTACGTGTTTCATCCTCCTCGCTCGATTCCAGTAAATGGATTTCCGTGCCTTTAATTGAATCTGTGAAAGACGATAAAAATCGATAAGTTTTTAATCTCTTTGAGATACTCTAATTTATAAATGAAATGCCCCCGCCGCAGCTGCTGCTGTCTTACCAGTAGAAATTAGAGGACTTTTTTCTGACAGATTTTTGTACTGGTTTCTTCTATTTGATAAGCGTCTACAGAATTTATGTATAGCTTTATCGTAGCACATTACTGAAATGATAAACAGATCTCAGTTTAACATATTTAATCGTGTCGATTGAATAGACGAGAGAGAAAAAGGATTTATTAGGCGAACATTTTATACACGTACCTATAATGTATAAAACGTAAGCAGAAACGAGAATTAATCCTTCGTACCATTCGATGCGACCATCGCGCAGAGTTAAAATTAATAAAAGTACCGTAATTGCATATGCAATGGTGTCTCGTGACACGGGCCATTTTTTCAGATTTAATACCTACAGAGAAAATTTATATTATTCAATGCGTTGGCTTCGAAAATGTCTGCACGACCTGTACGTTTTAATAAACGGATGTCACCGGTGCACCTGATTCGCAAATACTCCGCAACAGGCGGGAACAGCTAGAATATTAAAAACCGCGGAACCGACGATCGTCCCGACACCCAAATCCCCTTCCGTGACGAAGGTTCCTACGATGTTGATGAACAGTTCCGGGCTAGAGCTAGCCGCTGCCATAATCGTCGCTCCTGCAACATCCTCTGTTATGTTGATCTCTGAAAATAAACGTTTCTCGTCGGTTACTTCCCCAAAACACCTCGAAGCTTAAGAAAAAAATAAGACATCTTCTGGCTTCGCAAGATTTTCAATTTGCGAGGCTAGTTTCGCTGTACTCTACTCACTCTCGCAAATCTTTTTAAGCGAGGGCACGAAGAAGTCGTCGCAAACAACTGCGAGCAGCAGAAACATGTAAATCGCTATTACGAAGTGTATAACTATAAATCCTGATTGCCTGTGCTCCCGCGTAAAACCATCGGATGGAAATTCTTTGATCGCCGGCGGAGTACAGTTTATCGGTTCCTCTATTCCCGGTTCTACGGCAGCAGTTTGACTCGTAAGCTGTAGGAGCTTACGAAGACCTTAAACAGGACAAAAAAAATTATATCGTTAATATCGCTTATCAGATTTCGCATGAGTCTTTACGCAATTCACTTTGCGATCGTATCTACGCATCGATTCATCGAATAAACGAACGATCGTGTCGACCGCGTTCATTGTCACACGAACGAGGAATAATTCGATAATAATTAAAAGGAAACAAAACAGGCGACGATGGACGACATCGACTATGCTGCACTTACGCGTATTCGTGAAAGCCGGATTAGTCGCGGTCGAGGCATGATTCGGACGAAATGTTGCTAACGCGTTTACGAGGAGCAAGTATGTCGTTGGAACGGCGATCATGCATAATAGTTTGTAGCCTAACGTTCGGCCGCGATGTTTTGGCGTCATCGAGAAGTCGGTGCGTAGGCAGATACCGTGCGATTATGTAATTGCGGTGAGAAAATGGTAAAAAATTTTCGACGATCGAGCTCCAACGATGTCACTCGCCGTCCTGTACGGTACTAATTTTGATTGACATCGAAGTCGAACAGTAGATCGATGTTTTTCGTTTACGAGCATTATCGGCTTTAACTTTACACAGATAAGATACTACACAAAGCGAATCAAGACATCCCTTTACTGATAATTCCAATCGCCAGGAGTGTTCCTGCTAGTCGAACACCGGTAATTAAATAATATCTGCGACAGGTGATCGGCCCGCGATCGCACGCGCGTTGCATCCGCTTAAGATCGCCTCGTACGTATCGATGCGTGCCCTGCACGATTACTATTTGTACGCATACGAAATGTATTCCTAATGAAACTGTGAACACCGGATACCGACGATCGGAGGAATTCATTTATTTCTTTTCCATTTCTCCTTGTCCTTTTACCTATGTCCCTGTATGTATTCGAGCGGGGAGCAGCGCTCGTTTAGGGAGGAAAAGGCCGATTAGGAATAAAACGCGACGCTTAGCTCTTGGTAGAAATAGAGAAACGGAGTAGATATTGCACGGTGCACGGTATGCGATGCGTCCAATTTCCAAGGAAGCCATAACGGCGATTAGCGCGATGACGATTTCGCATTTTGACCGCGGCACGATTCAGCGGGCGCGATGCGCGAGAGCCGGAGAAGAGAAGAGAAGAGAAGAGAAGAGAAGAGAAGAAGAGAAGAGAAGACCCGGAGGGAGGGGCGATTCCAACAAACGCTGCCGGACTTCGGAGTAGTTGTTAATGTAGTATATGTGTGACAACGGGATTGACAACATGGATACGTCTGACTTAGGAGGAGGTTCGTTCAAATTTATTTCAAATATCGCCGCGGGATATGCGTTTTTTCACGGTGCCACGAAGCTCAATCGCGTTTCGACGCCTACGGACCGAGGGGGGTGGTGGGCAATCGGCGGGGGTGTAGGCGATGTGCTCGCGATTACAGTGAAAAGAAATCCTACGGATCAAAGATGTCGTGGAGTAATGCAAAGAGAAACTAATTGAAATGGACGGAACGGATGGATGGGAGAGGATGCGGAAACAGACGAGAAAGATGAAAAGGATCAAGACACTGGCGCTGAATCGAAGGGCTCGTAACGGCAGAGAGCCATTAAAAAAATTAGTGCGCTTTAAGTTGATTCCGATTCTGTCGTATGCCGTACACGTGTGCCGTGTTGTGTTGCAAATCATTGTGACAATTGTAATTCGAAGAAAATACCAAAAGGAGACTGTTTATCGCGTACAGATCCCTACTTCCATCAGTCAGCTTCTGTAAATCGCAAAATTGCAATCGCGGTGGAAAGCGTCTTATTTGCGTAAAACTATTACGAATAAAAGTTATGCGATCTTCAAATCACGGAGTATCCTGCTGTGTGGTCCCTAGGCGGCACGTGTTGTTACTGTCATTTTTTTCGGAGTAACTTAATCAATTAACGAATTGACTCTTGTTGTTTGAGCCATTATTCTCTCTCTCGCTCTCTCTGTCTATTCCCCGCGCTTTCCTTCTTGCTCACTCGCATATTTGATTATCTATTCTTCCTGCCTCCCTCATTCTCCCTGCTCCATTTCTACCTCATCTCTCTCTCTTTCTCTCTGTCTCTGTCTCTGTTACACGCGTACACGCGTCGCATGCATTCCGTAGTTGAAACATTGCTTAGAAAATGTTGTACAGGCGTATCAATTAAATGAGAATCTTCAGTATCGATAGAATTTTTCGTATTATACGTAATTCGTTGTTCAAAGTTAACGTTTAGAGTTCGTTATTCGTTTACTGCAGGGTGAATGAAACCATTGATTGATGTTTAAAAAAATTTTAAGAAGCTGATTCTCGGGATCGGCCGACTTGTGAAAAATTAATGAAAGATCGCTAAGTACAGTGGATCGATGGGCCAGAGTAAAATAAAAATGTCGTAGCATACAGGACAAATTGTTAGATCGGCGAGCAACGAGTGGCGCGAATCATCGGCGAAACCGTTTCGGTAGATCCGGGTCTACGGGCAGTAAACTAAATAAAAACGATCGACTCGTTAATCAACGAGGATGGTGATGATCCGTCTAATGATCGACGGCCGAGAGATGGTACCGAGCCGATGGTCATCGTTTGCTTCCAACGGAGATAAAACCGTTCGAGAACCGAATGGCCGACCCACGTTACATCTAGTTTATACGACGTACATTAGACATGAATGGCATCTCCTCTGCCAACTTGAATGAGAGCAATTTAACTTCTTTAGGTTGCTTAATCGGTAGGAAGTCACATCAACTGTACAGCTGTGTAACCTGTACAGAAGACACCAATACGTGCATCGTTTGCTTCATTACGACCGCCTATAATAAATCATAGGAGAAAAATTATCCCGAGCTCCGATGAACGAACCTGAAGAAACACGGAGGCCCACGAGGACTCCGTGAATCTGTCTGTCTTTTTGCAAAATCCGAAACCAAAATCCAGAACCACCAACAATAACAACAACAACAGCAATGGACTCATGGGCGTGAATGGTCGGGGTCTTGAAAGCGGGGGTGTAAGAGAAAAATCACGTGCAGTATCAGCGAACGGCTCGTTCAGAGAGAACAATATATCGTTATAGATTGTTGCATGCGAAACAGTTAATTCCATTTTTATATCGTACGTATCTTCGGACTTTTCGTCGTTGAGTAATTTGGAAGTTTTCAAGATGACAAAAATAGAATTACGAAAATTGGTTCGACTGACGATTGGTAAAACGGGACGAGAAAACACGTTCTATCTATCGTTTCTCGTTCGCGATCTCGGAGAGAGGTAGAATCAGAATTGAGAATAGACGTAGCGGCGAAGGTCAGTGAACTGATTATATTTGTAATTCCCCGCAACTGCTACGGCAAATGTAGCCAATTATCCTGATTCGTAATCACCAAATGGGGCGTGTATTTGACGTTTGTGCCCAACCGTGCTACATGCGAACCATGCAAGGTCATCGAAACTTATGTAATGGATCTGGCCAAAATCGTAAAACATACAACGATACGGATACGAATAAGAGCTAAAACGATCGTCGATCATTTTCTGCCGAAGACGAATTTTTCATTTTCTCTTAAATTCGATCTTTTTTTTCACTAATTCATCGTTTAACGATTCATCAAGCAATTGAACGAACCGAACGAGAAGAATCGTAATTAAGTAATTTAAGGAAGGTGAAAACGAAGAGTGCAATTCCCCCCTCTTTTCCTCGACGATAGTCGACGGAATTGTAAGACACATCGACGAGATACATCGATGACTTTTCATTTCTATACTCGATTGTATTGTCTGCACTTAACAACTAATTGTTTTATTCCTCTACTTGTACAAACGTATGTATCACAGCGAATAGCTCGCGAAAGTGAATTCGAACAGTTTTAGAACGGAGTAACTTTTTTTAACATCGGAGCGAACATATTAATTTTCTCTGAAAGATACTCGAATAGTTTCGTGCGCCGCTGCGTACATCGTTGTTGCCCGGATATATCTATGACGAGACAGAGTCTCCAAGTACAAATCGCGATTCGTGTTTTAGGTATAAATTGTACACCTCCAGCGATAGAAGACTTTCCACACGACCTTTTCGACGAGAAGCAGAGGCAGGGTGGAGCTGTCGTCGTACACGTGATCGTTTCGCTTTACCTATTTATCGCTTTAGCGGTGGTGTGTGACAAATTTTTTGTTCCTGCCGTGGAAAAGATATGTCACGGTAAGGAATATCATCCTCGTTGCGACAGTATGCGAGTTCGATATTCGCTCGTCTCGTTCTTTTGTACCCTCTCTGCTCGATCCTCGAGTAAGCGACTACTTTCGGTTAAGAAAAGCCCAATCGGATTTATTTGCTGATTTGGAAAATCGGTTTCAGCACTTTCTATGTCCAAGGACGTGGCGGGTGCCACGTTTATGGCCGCGGCGACGTCGGCACCGGAACTGTTCGTGAACGCGATCGGCACGTTCATCACCGAAGGTGACATCGGCGTCGGGACAATAGTAGGCTCGGCCGTATTCAATATCCTCGCGGTACCGGCCTGTTGCGGTATCGGTGCTGGAATGGTAAGCACTCCAGATTGAAACCATTTCAACGGGATAGTCTAGCTTTTTCGATGCCAGGCGATGCTACGCGCGTGTATTACGCAACTGAAATAATTCACGCACGATAATCCGGAATGCGTACAGGTAGTTCCTTTAGACTGGTGGCCGGTCAGCAGAGATTGCCTCGCCTACGGCGTTACGGTCGCAATACTGATATGTATCATACATGACGAGCGGGTAGAATGGTACGAAGCGTTAACGCTGGTGTTATTATACATCGTATACATCGCCGTCATGTATTGGGACAAATCGTTTCAGCGGTGCACGAGGTTCCGTGCGCACAACGCTGATCAATCGTTACCAGACGATCGTCGCCATGTCACAGGTAATCGCGGGTCAGTCATATTTATCGTGTCGAAATAATTACATTGATAATCTGGCAACTAGCATCGATCGGTTTAGAAGGCAGCACGGAAATTCACATGGCAGGCTCCGACAAAGTACAGCCGGCTGGTGAACAAGCCGAGCATATGGACGTACCGTTGCAAAACGGTGGGACCAAGACTCAAGATGAGAATCCTGAACCTGGTAAGTAAGATGACAACGACGACGACGATGATGGTGGGGGAGGAAAATTTCACGACATTCGCATATGTTGCGCAGATTACGAATACGAGTTGCTGGTTTGGCCCGCGCGAGCCGGATGGATAAGAAAAACGGCGTGGATCTTGACTTGGCCGATTCATTTAATTTTCATGTGTACGATACCGGACTGCGAGAAGCCGCGATTCAAGAATTGGTTTCCGATCACATTCCTCATGTGCATCATTTGGATCGGATCTCTGAGCTACGTTGTCGCATGGATGATCACTATAATCGGTAGTAAACCAAGCGATATCATGTAAAAAATAGAATACTCCATGCACAAGGACAAACGACAATCGCATTTCAGGAGACACTCTGAAAATACCAGACTCCGTGATGGGCATTACTTTCCTCGCTGCTGGTACCAGCGTTCCAGAAGCCGTATCGAGCGTTATAGTTGCGAAGCAAGGTAAAGTAAAATACGAACATTATGCTTATAAGTTGAACGCTCTCATAAAAAGAAAGTACTGCTGTTCGTTGGTCATGATCGCTGACAAGGTGGCCGTTTTAGCGAACTGTTCGCACGAACAGACCTAGCCACAATAATAATAAAGTTCGATTGCCATCTTTGATAATTTCGGTCAAATCGTATAAGCTTCCTCGTTGTTCTTTTAATCGAATCGTTCCATTGTTGTTCTGTGCCAGGACACGGCTCGATGGGAATCAGTAACTCGATAGGATCGAACACGTTCGACATCCTACTGTGTCTCGGTCTTCCATGGCTAATCAAGTCTTCGTTCTCACCGACGCAACCGGGCAAACACTATATCAGCATAAACTCCGGTGGTCTCGAGTACAGCGCTATATCGTTGTTGTCCACGCTGATGTTACTCTATATCGCTTTCGCTTCAAATAAGTTTCAGCTCGATAGAAAAGTCGGCCGAGCGTGTTTATGCATGTACGCCGTTTTCCTCATACTAGCCTCGTTAATCGAATTGAACGTATTCTTCAGGGTAAATTTGCCCACGTGCCAGAGGACGGTCAAGTGATACCGGTCATCGAATGCGGAATTGCTTAACGATCACGGTTCGATGACGGTGTTTCTTAACTGATCCTCGTTCCAATTCGAACTTTTCTTCCCCCATTACATGTTCGGATAAACGAAGTTTACTACTAAAAGTTCTACTGCTGCTACTACTACTAATACCACTACTACTACTACTACTACTACCACTACTACTACTACTACCACTACCACCACTACTACCACTACTACCACTACTACCACTACTACTACTACTACTACTACTATTACTCTTACTACTAACACTACTACTACCACTATTACTACCACTACTACTACTATTACTACTACTATTACTACTACTACTAACACGATACTTTTTCTTGTATCGTTTCACTCTTTGACGAGGCCGTCCTCCCTTTACTGCGACTCCGTTTCATCCTGTTCGTTATTCTATTCTCAGCAATCCGTGCAATCCCAACGATGCGCACTCTTTACCTAACACAATCGTAGCTTCGTTTATGTATTGTACTTTCTCTCTCATCTCCCCTATAGTTCGCATACTCGAACCTATTCTCCCTTTGTTCCGACCAAATCGACAGCATACGTTCGAGATGTATGCGACTCCGTCGTGTATCGTCGCATTTTCATTTCTCAATTCAATTCTTTCTCTCGCGTTATCGTCTCGTTTTATTCCGACGATTCAAAAACTCATATTAAGATACGAGGAATAAAAGAAATTCCGAACGGCGAATGTTTCGTCTTCTGGGAAAGAATAATAATATACTATACTGTGTGGGAGACAACTGTTCGCGTTATACTAATTGGAATGATAAATAATAACAGAATTATAATTTTACGCTCGACCTCGAGGTGGCCTAAAAAAGAAAGTAATGAATAAATAAACTCTTAAAAAAAGAATGGATAAATAAATAGTGCGGATGGAACACGAATTCGATCGTATGATAGCGTAGAAAAGACTGCCGCTTCTACAAACATTTCATTTATACATACATACGTATAAGCATCGCATAAAATAGACAGGGACGTTAACTGAACGTAGTAGTACGCGTCCTACGAATGGTTGAGCAGAGCTTCGATAATCGGTTATCGTTCCAGAATACCACGATAATCAATTAACGGTAGCTAATTAAGAAACTTTTCGATAATTACCGTGCCGTGATGTACATCATGTTTATTTGATAAAAATAAATTGACGCGTACTGAAGTTCGCCGCAGGGTGTATATTTAGGTATAATCTAAGAACTTAACGAGTTTAATAAAGTACTGTAATAAGTTATTAAAAAGGAACTATCCGCAGTCATTCCTCTCCTGTCCTACCCATACGTCCTTCTCTTTATACCGTACTTGGTTGCACCGCTCCGTTCAGGCACTAGTTGCGTTACTGTCAAGGCTCCGAGGGTTTATTAATAATAATAAAATAACAAAAAAAAAAGCAGTCTTATAAATACAGCGGTAGCTCTATCGATAGCTACACTGCAGAGAGCGTGTCGCGTCGCACACGCACCAATTGTATTCAAAATAGACAGGTAGTAGGTGTAGCTATCTGCAAGCTCGGAGCTTGTAACGAGCTTAAAAGTCTTGGCGAGTGGTATCGATATAATCGGAAAGTTAGTGAGCGGTGCTTCCGCGGTTGCGACGTATCCGTGTGCTGCTGGCGATTGTAATCAATGTTTTCGAGACCTTTGGCACGATTTCAACGTGGAGGAGTCGATCTGCGAATCCGGGAAGAGAACACGACCGTCACGCGGCGCAGATTCGTTTCAGCGAGGAACAGAAACACGTCGGCACACGTTCCAGACTTTTGACAGGTTAGTGGAAACGAGCAGATAAGAAGAGGGATCATCGATATCGCTTTACGACATCCTCATGTTCACCCACTAACATTTCGAGAACCGCGTTGCGATAGGTCATTGAAAAAAAAAAAAATCATTTTCCGTGGTGTTCTTCGTCCGCGCGTCCGTGCACGCGCGCGCTCGCGTGTCAGTCACTTGCGTGAGAATCAGAGACGACAGGTGAAGACAGTCAGGTACAACGTTACGTCGTTTCGATCGACCGACAGAGATAACGCGTTTCAAACAGTGACAAAGTATATACAACGTGTACCGAACAGAGTGATCCGCAAATTTCCCCGCGTTTAAAAACAGAGTTCACCGGTAAAATATGCGGAGGTATACGAACAAATCTGTGAAACTCGTCCTTCCAACCCTGAACTACCCTTGACGATAACGTTCACCTGACGCGATAATTTTCGAGAAGCCTGGAGCTGCTGGGGTGTCATCGATTATATTAAACGATAATAATGAACGAACTAGCATTCTTGAGCAACGCAACGGCGAGGACTATGCGGAGTTAAAGCTATGCATGCTGTATCATCGGGTGGCAGTAGGTCGAGCGCGAGTATTAGGTCGGTAGGTCGAACAACGCGAGCGACCATAAACGGTTCAGGAAGGGGTCAGCTACACGTCACCACACTGGATCCGCGCTGCGGCGGCGGCGGCGTCGTCGTCGTCGTCGTCGCTGAGATACCGTCAACCTTTACCGGTTACCGTTACCGTACCCCATCGGCTGATCGTTCCCTTCTTCGATCGATTTTAAACGAGAAACAATAAAAATGTTAACACAGCTTTACGAGGATTGTTACGTACTCCGGTCGGAAAATGGATTCATTGTTTTCCTTTATCGCGCTGGGTATACATGCGTATAAAACAAGCGCGATCGATGCACTCGATGAGGATTCAGTAGTGAAGACTTAAATTTAGATGACAGGGTAGCTACTTGTAAAATCGAGGCAAAGAATCAGCGATGGTGTTATGGAGGCCGATACGTACGTGTAGCGGTTTAAATTTAGACATACTCGGGAGTTGTAAGAGAATGTTCCAACGAAACACTGGACGGAGAATAAATAGGAGAAGAGTAGAAACGAGTGTATGAGGAATTGGGGACAAATGTGAAGAAATATCGGAACTGTGAAATTAGATGAGCCTAAGTCGGATATCTCGTCTATCGGAGGGAGATTCTGTAGCACTGGCAGCAGCAGTAGTGATGAAATAACGGGTGGTTGGATCTTCCGAAGAGGACCGGCGGCGGCTCCGGCGGCGACGGGTGAACCAGCGAAAGCAACGAATGACGAGCACGAGGAGGAAGCGTAAGAACATAGAAACGTAGAAAAAAGAAGTTAGGAGGAAGACGCGAAAGAGAAGGAGAAGAGAGGGAAACGATTTGAAAGCATGGGAGCGAGGCATCGAGAAAAGAGCAGACGAACGAGCGATATACAATTCGAAGAGAGGTTCGATGCGGCAAATGCGGCGAATGCGTTGAATGCGCTGAATGCGACGGTAGGCAACGTCATGCGCTCTGAAAACAACCGCAACCCCCTTTCGGAGGGTTAGGTGGACGCGGGGAGTTAGCGAGCGCACGCGCACATTTAATCGGTTTCCTCGAACTTCCGGTAGCGGAACAGAGACGTTACCTCTGGTAGTCGGAAAAGGAGGGAGTCGCAGAGTGTCCAAGTTATGCAGTGTTGCTTACCACCACGTAGGGGGTATAACACTCGCCGTCTCTCACAATAGAAACCTTTAACATTTTTCCACGGAATTATTTTCTTATGCGTTTCAGTGTATTACGTTTAATTAAATCGTGTTTCCCTTTATTCGTTGAGGGAGCTGACCGAGTGTCTACCGAGTTGTGCACAGTGTAACGAGTTCTCGGGACATAACAATATTCAAACAATTTTCCACGGGTATTTTTCGTTGCAGCCAGTTCGGTGGTATTTTCCTTTCCGCCCTCTCGACCGTGTATCTTCCCTTTCTTCGTTTCGTTGTTCCTCGTCCGTTCGTTCGTCCGTCCGTCCGTCCGTTCGTTCGTGCGTCCGTTCGTTCGTTCGTTCGTTCGTTCGTTCGTACGTCCGTTCGTTCGTTCGTTCTTTCCATGGAAGGACACGTTTCTCAGTTGGTATCTCCTGTATCGTGAATCTCCGACACGAAGATCGATTCTACGGAGAAAGGTATTTCCGATAACGCACAGGCTTCAACACGGACAGGTACGGTTGAAGGAGCAACGATTGTAAATGATAGCTCGTAAACGGTAGCGCCGAATGTTTCACGTATCACGTATTCGTAGACAACGAAGATCTCGCGGTTCATAGACAAAGTCGCGAATATCCAGTTCGTAGATCGTAATAAGGAGCGTCAAGTATTCAAGTCGATCATCAACGGTGGTGTACATAGATGGAAACGGAAACGGAAACGGAAACAGAGATAGCAGCAACATTGTTGATCGAAACGGGACCGCAACAACAGTCGATTCAAATAACGTCGTGCTACATCGGCTTAACTTGCGAAGTTATCAGTTGGACCAGTGAATAATCCGACGGGAGAAGTGGATTCTTTTTAGTGACGACATTATCGTCAAGTGTACGGCCACCGAAGTTAATGATCATCGCACGCCCTACCTCTCTATATTTCTCTCTCTGTTCCGCCACGAATCAAATCGTATCCACTATCCACCCCACATATCGATACTCATATCGACCACCGCTCGTTTTGACGTAACGGCGTGTACATTTTATTAAATAAAATAAGGAGAAACAGACATTTCCGTGTCGATTTTAGTGTTTTACCGATACCGCGATACCGATTTACGGAGACACGTTTTACGAGCTCGTACATACGCTCGGTACTTACCGAGATTAAATTCCGAACAGTTACGTTCGTCTTTTATTGTGTGGTGCCTAAATAATACTAATTAAATAACTTAACGTAAAGAGAAGAAACTAGTGCCTATATAACACGGAATGCGCAATAAATACGCAACTCGAATGCTGTGACTTGAAAAAGATATAGATACACGTACGTATGTATCGAGAATCTATCGTATGTATTTGTATACCGGACCAATCCGTCAAATCGAATTGTTTGACGCGCGGATCAGTGCTGCAGTGCAGATATAATCGACTCGAGAAAGAGACGGAGACGGAGAGAGAAAGATCAGATCTAGATTCGCTCTAATTTCGATTTCGAATCTCGTCGGACACGCAATTTAATATCAACTACCAGCTCGGCTAGACCATGGAACGATACGTGGAATGCGATCGATTCGTTGATGAATATGGATGTTGAATTCGATAAACGATAGTCGCAACGAGGTCGCTCGCGATTTCCCGCGGGCTCAACTGAAACGTTTTGCGAGATTTCCGTTCTCCCGAAAGATCCAATCTCTTCCAACCTTTTTATTTATAATATCGTTAGAGATACAGAGCAATGTCCCGTTTAATGTTGTGCAATCTCGCTAATACGTCCACTGCAGGAAATGACACGAACAACAACGCGAACACGAACAGTAGCATGGAAGATGACGACTACTATCCGCTGCCCACTATTTATCGGTGAGTCAAAGCTCTGATTTTGATCAACGACAAGTACTTATTAATACCTAGTATTTATCTGCGTACCGCACCAGTCGTCTCCCTCTTTCTTCATATTCTGTTCGTATTTCTATATATATACTCGCCGAAATTCTACGATTACTCAACGCGCCCCATTCGTCGTCACAGCTGTAACATAATTGAACGGGTTATCTACGAGAAAAGTGTATATTACAAATTCACGGAAACTGATTCTTTTAGTAAAAGGACGTACGATCACTAAATTGGCCAGCACGAGCTGTTTTAAGGATGTATTGCCTATACAGTC